AGTAGTAGGAGTAGTAGTAGGAGGAGGAGTGGGCACTGAAGCACCAAATAGTGGCAGTGGTAGCAAACAACATCATCGTCGTTGCACCAAAGCTTGGCGAGTGTCCCAAGAACCTTAGCCTTGCTGAGGCTTGGGGCGAGTTCGATGATTACTGGCGCAATGGTTACGCAGCCCCGCAAGCTTGCTGCGCAACTTTGCAGCCTCACAAGCTTTAGCGGGTATTGCGTTATTCTTCTTATCATTATAAGTTTTTCATTCTTACTGTATATGATCATTGGCATTAGTATATGTGTATGAGTCTGAGAACGAGTACGAGTCCAGTATCAGTTCTGGTGTTAATATGATCATGAGCATTGGCATTAGCATGATCATGCGTATTCGGATGAGTATTACTATGAGCTTGTTATTCGTATTTTTCAATATCCCCCATTGCAATTGTGCCTGCCTGCCAACTGCCACTGCGTGTATGGCTTCTGCTATCAATAAAAAGTCGTGTGATCATTGCGATCATTGCCGTCTCTGGTGAAAGCCGACCGCCGGAGAACGATAGAAGCTGTGTCAGTTTTGCCGTTATTAAGCCGGTCGATCACCGAAAACCCGAAACCCTAGAAGATCCTAAACGTAACACCCAGAAGCCTGAATCGTCTCTTCCCAGACCCGGTACTCCCTAAACCTCCTCGCTTCACCAGACAAGTCTGAGGCCTGCGGCGGGGGCCAGGTCCACTCTGTCGTCGGAGCCTGGCAAGTGCTGTACCGGCCTGAGGCCTTTGGCATGGTAGCAACGCATGGTGCCCGTGGCTTCAGAACCAACTCGAACCCCTCTGACCTAGGCATGGTGCCTGCACCATTGTGGATAACTGCATTCAGTCCCCCAACTATCCTGCGAATTACAGTGCCTTGGGGGCAAGAAGGATTCTCGAGTTTGCTTCCACCACGGATTTGTGAAGCTTGAATGACAGAAAGGTGTGGTCAGCATAGCGGAGCCTTAGGGATCGTGTGCATGTCATCCATCCGTCTCGATGGGAGCTGCTTGCAGCTGCATGGCCGGATGCTGGGTTCACTTGCACTCGAAGAAAAGCTTGTGCTATCTGCTGTCTCATGCGCTGAAGCATCCTCTCCTGTAAAGACCTCGCAAGTTCTCGCCAGCCCAAACCCTCCACGCGGCAGGCAGCAATGGGCGGTGCGCCATAGTGACAAACAGCAGCTTCATGGCTCCTCTGCAACTGGTGGATTTCTCCACAGAGCTCTTTTACGATATCCTGACCATCAACAACATGAAGTTCAGCCGCTGGGCCGCCACTGCTTTACAACGCAATACCTCCGCTATCCACTGCCTGACTGCATAATTTCTAAATCCAACCTCTGCAGCTTGTAGACTCAAATGCCGGATCGCCCAACAGGCGGCCTGAGGAAGCCTTCCGGCAACTCGGCTGTTGTGTATAGGGACCCAACAAAAGCCAAGCACAAAAACTACCGCTTCATGGGGCACGCAGGGTTTGGAGGTCGTCGGATTGGGGGATTTGTGGAACGTCTTCCGGTGCATGGATTCGGGGACGGTGCATGTATAGGGAGTGTTTTCAGATTGTGACAGTTGGGGAACACTAAACAAGCAGCGATTTTCTACACTGGGTAACTTAAAGGAGATACCTCAATGAATCGGAACGAAGCACCCCCCCCAACATGCCGTTTCGCGTGCAGGCGTGGTGTAGATTTTTGGGTGACCTAATCTAAGTCTTCCATGCTTGCCTTCACTCCGGCCAGAGCAAGCATCATTACGAACCAGATCCGTTCTTGATGGCCGTACTGCTTCAAAATTCTGCATCAAGAGCTGAAGGGAAAACCAATGCAGTGCAACCGATCTCATCAACCCATCCTGCCCTGACACTCACAGAGACTCCAACCCACCAATACCAAGTGCAACTGCAATATCACACATGTTTACTGCGACAAATGCAAACGGCTCTCCTTTTTATACGGGTGCCACACTGTATTGGGGACCTAAACCGGGACCCTAATTTAGAGAACTAGCCTAGCCTATTGCATTGTGTTGTGCTGTTGTGTTGTATGCTCACAAATGACTAAGCGTCCTCACACGCATCCCTGTGTATATACATGCGCACATGTGTAGTTGTACTAGTTTTTTGCGCAAAACCTCGACTTTCCACCTCCTCCATCATCTCCACCAGCCTGGCAGCCCCTACGAACCATTCTATGACCGGGACCGCTCTTTGATTATTGAAGCCGAAGCCTCCGCCCAAAAACTGCTGAAGCCTCAAAGTTTCTTCTTGCCGCGAGGCGTCACCCCTCGGGGCACAATCGCCTGGAAGTCCGATGAGGACATCGAGGCGAAAGGCCCTCCAACGGGGCGTATACCCTAGGCTCTGCAGAGCACAATGAGTACAGGACATTTTTTGGTTGTGGGGCACAGCCGCCCGAATTGCAAAGCAGTCATGGGTTTCCTTGTTTCGCTCCTATCCTCTCCCGGCAGGTTGGAAGCTTT